CCCCAAAACCCCAAAACCCCAAAACCCCAAAACCCCAGCTTATATATTAATAATTGTCAACAGTAAAAATGTTCATGGAAGAGGAAAAGGAAAACTCTTTAGATTTAGCTCCCCTGCAAGAGCTTTTGCAATATGATCAGCCAAGTGCTTCTGGGATGAGTAAGTTTGGATTTGAGTCAAACATATCAGTAATAGAACATCCTGGAGGAAAAGATAACAGCCTGAACAAGTTTAGTAACCAGGCAGGTGTTTCAGAAAACCCTTCTTCCAGTTCCCAGTCTTTGACCAAGATGCAAGAGAAACGTGAGAAAGGGAGAATAAGGTCAAAGCTTTCGAGAGAAAAATAGAAAAGCCTACGTTGCGAAACTTGAGTCAAGGATAGATGATCTTGAAACAGAAAATTCTAGACTCCAGAATATTATTATTAAACTGCACTCTGAAAAGTATTCAAAGGCTGACCCCAATTCAAAAAGCTTTGTTAATGACATCCAAGACTTACAAGGAACCACTATTGATAATTTCTGGAACCGAGATACCATGCAGCATAACAGTGAAAGGTCTATTGCTGTGGGTATTAATTACTACAATGTTGCTTCCAAAGCAATGGAGAAGCATAAATAAGTTTTTGGACTCTGTATTTGAGATGATTATTAACCATCCATATTCCCTCACCCGTTTCAGGTACTGGAAAGATCTCAACTCAGAATATACGACAGAGTATGATCAGATTAAGAAGTTAAAGAAGGTTGATAAATACAAGGTAGGAGAATTCATGCAGGCCAATAACCTTACCCCTCTTGACCAATATGTGGCTTCATTCAATCCGAGTAAGAGGCAGTTTGAATTCCTGAAGAATGTAGTGTTCAAGAAGGAATTACAGGTCAAAAATGAATTTAAAGAAGCTATTAAAAAGCTTTTGGAAGCTAAATTGATAATCCAAAAAGCAAATCTTGAGATCCATACGTTTATTGGATTCTTTTTAAATTGAGGAATACTATCTGACGAACAGATTCTGCAATCTAATATAAAATATGGCTTTTTCAAGAGAGAACAAGCATTTAAGAATATTTGGAATGTCCAAGTCAGGCTTAATCGATACTGCATAGATATGGCAGAAGATCCTTTATATGGAAAATATGCTAGAAAGTATTTAAAGAAAGATAAAAGGATACTCTATTTCCAGTACAATGACTATTCTTTGCCTTAATTAGTCACCTTTTATCTATTCAATATTTTTTAGTTTAATGGGGTTTTGGGGTTTTGGGGTTTTGGGGTTTTGGGGTTTTGGGG